TGGCTCTCCCAGTGCCCTTCCTCTTTACAGTGTGAGCACAGCGCGGGCTTGGCGAGCTCCCTGAGCTCCGCTCCCTGGGGCATTTCTCTTCCTCTACCACCCAGCTGGTTGTAGAGGAAGCAGGAACTTCTAGGGTATCTCCATTTCTGAAAAACCTCTCCTATCTCAGTAGCCACTGTTGGAAAAGCTTCCTTCTGCTCTCGGGGCTGCTGCCGGCCCTGTTTCCTCTCTCATCTTGGTTAGCAAAGACTTCGAAAGGTCTTTAATAACCAAGGCCAGGTTTAAAGTTCCCTTGTGAAGTCTGAGGCCCCTTTTCAAGCTTTTGGGGTTTATGCCGAATATCAGGGGGCCAACTGGGAGGTAAAGGGCATTGCCAGAACGGATTGTCCCTCCTTGGTGTCAGGATCTAAGGAGCAAAGAGCAGTAGAAGGAAAAGGGCTAGAGTCTTCATCCCAGCTCTGACCCTGCGGCCTCCCAGAGAGGAAGTTGGGGTACAGCGGGGAAGGAGTTTGGCCAGCCTGGGTAAATGCAGCTGAGAGGAAGGAGAAAGAGGAGGGAGAGCAGGAATGGAACAAGGTTACGTTGAAGGGCTTTAGTAGCCAAGCAGACAGACCGGATCCATATCTCCAAGCACAGAGTAAAACAAGGAAAAGCAGATAAAATCAAAGAGAAAGCAAAAGGAAGCAAACTCTCTGTCGCCTTACCTAACCAGCAGGTTTTCCTCCCGGGTCGTGGCATCAGATGTCAGGGTTTAGTCCACGGCTGGACTTTGAAGCGTTGCCCCAGTTCTTGGGCTCCCGGCCTGGAAGTATCACAAGCCTTGGCCCACAGGAGGGAGAGAGATGACAGACACTCAGCAAGGATGCATGAAGAATTTATTGTCAGGAGAGTTTGAGGGTGCAAAGCGGAAGTCCATTTCCTAAGAGGAAACGGGTCTGTCTCAGCGAGTGGAGAAGACACTGGGTACTTCTGTGTTTCTCTTTCTATATGCTAGCAGTTTAGGCAAAGGTTAGTTATAATTGTTCATAACTATACGTCACTGTTAATTCCTTTCTGTGTTTGAACATGACTTAATGGTTATGTTTCAGTCGTATGGTGGGGAAGGTGCCATAACCTGTTTCTGGTGTGTTTTCCATTCTCTGCCTGGTGGTCCGTGTTCTATGGCCTGATTACCCCATTCTTTAAGACTAAAATAACCGTTCCCTCGTTTTATTTTTCTGTAACCATTTCCTCCTCATTGTGTTTCTATAAATGTTTTCTCCTTTCTCTTCTTCTGATTTCCACTACCTCTCACTAGTTTTTCTGTCCCTAACAATATTATTCAGATTGACTCAGAAAAGCCATAAGCACATACAGAATTATAGTGTAAAACATCATAAACAATGTTATAAAAATTAAGAAAACCAATTATAATACATATCAATGTAAGACATGAAAAATAAATGTTCACAATAGATAAAGCCCTCTTACAAATCAGTGACAAAGTGACTGCACAGACCTCCATTTTCTAGGCTGAGTGTATAAAGGTCAACTTTGAAAGAGAAGTGCAAGTTTAAAAGAACTATCTGTGGGAAGAGTGGAAAAGAGTCACATTCCTCTCCTAATTATAGGCTTTTTGTTAGCCCCAACTCCCTACCTTCCCCCCTTGCCACTCCCTCCTGTGACTCTAAATCACTGCCTAGCAACAGAAGTTTTGCTTTTGCCATGAAAATAATGTAATGAGTTAGAAAGGAGTCAAGGAGAAAAGTGTGTTGGTTATCAGATAGCATCCCATCAGCACAGTGGTGAAAACAAAAACGAAAACAAAACAAAAAAACCCAGGACTGCCTACTTCTCTACGTACAGTCTCCCAGAAAGAGTGGGACTTTGGTACCTTCCCTGCAGACGTCTTGTTACGATGTGTGTGATTCCAGCTGTATGGTGGGTGTATGGTTAGGGTGCTTTTCCATTGTAGCTCTATAAAGGGCCAAGGTGCTTTCTCTAACATGGAGAGAAAGGATCACAAACCAGCAAGCTGCAGATCAAACCAGCTCATAGACAGGCCCTGTCTTGCCTGCATAGTTTTTTTTAAATTTTTGAATTAGTTGCAAGATTTAGTTTTAATGTGTCAAATTAGCCAGGCTATGGAGCTTTGTTTGTTCAAAGATTAATCTAGCTGTTGCTGTGATGATATTTTATAAATATGATTAACATTTACAGTCAGTTCACTTTAAAGTAAAGAAGTTTTATCCTAAATTACGTGGTGGGCCTCATCTCATCAGTTAAAAGCCTTCAGAACAAAAACTGAGGCTTCCTGGAGAAGGAATTCTGTTGTATGACAATCTTGCATGAGTTTCCAGCCTGCTGGCCTGCCCTAAGGGATTTCAGACTTGCTGAGTCTCTCCAGTGGTTCTGCTTCCCTGGAGAAGCTTCGTTAATACAGTTACAATGACACAGACTATTAATTGCTGACCCCAATAGCCTTTGTCCTCTTATTCCCTATAGTAAAAACCCCTGAAATAAAGACATTTTCCACCTTCCTTTGCAGTTAGCTGTGGCCACGCGGCTAAGTTCTAGCCAATAAGATGTAAGCAGATATGCTTTGTGGCAGCTCCCTTAAAACACACCTGATGGGTACCCTGTGTCTCCTTGTTTTTTCAGCCAATCTTCCACCCTCTGCCCAGAACTGCCAGAGCTCTCGCAGCCATACTGGGTCATGAAGATAGAGATCATTCCCTAGGAATGATATTGCAGAAAGCTGGAAGGAACCTGGATCCCCAATCTCTGTGGAGCTACTGGATTAGTTCTGAACTGCCTCAAACAAAGGAAAACATTTCTATCTAATTTATGCTAGATATTCGTTTGGATTTTACGTTTATTTAGTGGCATATAATCCGAATTTGATAACTGCTAAATTTTAAAAATTAGTACATTTCACATAGCTATTCAGATCGCTGGCTTTTCCCTTGGCAGTTTGAATATGTGATAAATTTGGGGTCATGCTCCCCATTGTCATGGTCATTGACCAGGGCAGGATATAATGGATGCTTGCCTTAGATGGGGCTGGTGACCCCACCAGGTTCGTTTCCTTTGTTTAAGTTCCTAGAAGCTTTGAGTTTGTCATCCCTGACCTGTTGGGGTGTTACTTCTACAGTGTAACAGGCCCTTTACAAACTTATTTTGTCCTCTTAGGCTGTTTCTCCAGCTACTTTTTAGGAGAGTGGGGAAAGATGGAAAGATTGTGGGTGCCAACTTTATAATTTATAGACTTATAACTTACTCCCTGCACCATTTTCAGCTAGAGTATTCCCAAATGGATGTAGTCCACAAGGAAGATATTTCTTATGTTGATGGAAGCAGGGGCCATTCTTTACCTTTGTCAGAGCTCTGCAGGCCTGTGTGTGGGAGGAGGGGAGCACAGCTCTCAGTGTCCACAGGCTTTTCATGGTGGGGAAGCTTTACTCTCAAGGCTTGGGAAAACAGAGGATCTTCCACTCTGTGGATGCAACTTTTTCTCATTTTATTTATTTATTTTTTTTGAGACAGGGTCTTACTCTGTTGCCCTGGGTAGAGTGCGGTTGTGTCATCCTAGCTTACTGTAACCTTAAACTCCTGGGCTTAGGTGATCCTCCTGCCTCAGCCTCCCGAGTAGCTGGGACTACAGGTACATGTCACCACACCTGTCTACTTTTTCTATTTTTTGTAAAGACCAAGTCTCCCTATGTTGCTCAGGCTGGTCTCGAACTCCTGTCTTCGAACGATCCTCCCATCTTGGCCTCCCAAAGTGCTAGTATTACAGGCATGAGCCACTGAGCTCAGCCTCCCAAACACTCAATTTCAAAAGCCAGACATTTTAAGGAGTAAAAGGAGCAGCACAAAACAATCGCTCCCAAACATAAAGGCATTCCAGGACAAGGGCAGTGAAAGGTGGTCTTATTAATAACCTAACAGAGAGAAATAATCTATTAAACAGAAAGTAAGAGAAATAAACTCACAGTACAACTACTCTTTGTTTAATTAAAACACATGTGCCCTAAACTTATCTCTGAGTTCTTTCTCAGCCTTGAAGAGTCCTAAGCAGACAGTAGGGTGCAAGCTCCCTGCTCCAACTCTCTGCCTCAGTTCCTGCCAAAAACACCAGATTTCAAGGACTCAGATAACCCAGCCTCACAGAAAAATAAATAAGGAACTCCCTGACATCTCACAGCCACTGTTTTCAGTCTCCTGAAGCAGGAAAAAAAAAGCCACTTTTACCCTTTAAAAGCGCCAGGCAACTTTCCTCGCTGCCTCCGGACATTTCTTTCCTCCCTCTGTGTGTCATGGACACTCCTTCTCTTTCTGTTTCTCTCTCTTTCTTGGGAAAATAAACTTTTACTTCCGTATAGCCTAATCACCGTCTGAGAATTCTTTCTCACCCGCGTATGAACTTCACACTCTTATCAGGCAACATCAGACGTTTTTGGTCTGGGGGTAATTACAGGCAAACTGTCTTAAAACAAGACTTGAAAAATTTTCATGTTATTTCCAAATCCCGTTTCAGAGCTTTTTTTTTTTTTTAAATAGCAATTTGAGCCCCTAAGAACATCCTCTGCAGCAGGTCGCCGCGTGGAGGGCGGCACAGAGAACCGGCGAGGAGCGCAGACGAGGGCTGGGTGTGGCTGGTCCTGCAGGCAAATGCCACGTAACCAGTGGCGCTGGAACTAACTTGACATCTAAGAAAGACTAGGCGTAGGAACGGCCGGTTTCGGTGTTAGGGCAGAGGGCTCAGGAGGAAGCAGACATCCTGAGCCCTGCGGTCCTGGGGCGGTGAGGCAGAGAGAGGAGACGGGGGAGAGAGGAGACAGGGGTCCCGGGTGGGGCGCGGGAAGGATGGGAGGAGAGGAAGGTCACGTGACACCCGGTACCCGGCCGCAGCGCCAAGGCCAAGGCAGGACGGCGTGAGCCGCGCCCCAACCTGGCCGCGGACGTCACGACGCCGAGGCGGACGCCGGGCCAATGGGAGGCCGTCACGGGCAGGGGCGGGGCCCGCGGGAGTCGGGCTGGGCCGCACCGAGACAGTTGGCGGAGTCCTGTGTGGCCGCCGCGGGGAGAACGAGAGCCGAGCGGGCGGCTGCGGACGCCGGCCTGCCCTGCGCGTCCTGCCCGCCTCTCCCATCTCCCGCATGGTGCCCACTACCCCCTGAGCGGCTGCGGCGGCGCCGAGGCGTGAGGGACGTGCCGCGGAGGCGGCTCGGGCGAGGGTTCCCGGCGCCGGCACTTCCTCCTTGCGCTGCTCGTGCGCGGCCGGCTCGGCGGGCGGGATGGCGGCCGCGGCCCGGGGGAGCGGCCGCGCATCGGCGCCGCGGCTGCTTCTGCTCTTGCTGGTTCCGCTGCTGTGGGCCGGGGTCCGGGCCGGCCCCGACGAAGACCTTAGCCACCGGAACAAAGAACCGCCGGCGCCGGCCCAGCAGCTGCAGCCGCAGCCGGCGGCCGTGCAGGGCCCCGAGCCGGCCCGGGCCGAGGTGAGCGGGCCGGGCTGTGGCGGCGGGGGATGGGACGGGACCGGCGAGGCTGCGGAGCCGGCTGCGCCGGGTACCACGCTCGGGCCCGCCGGGAGCGCCGCCTTCCGCCTGGCGCGGGCTGGGGGAGGGGAGCCCGGCCCCTGCTCCGGGTGGAAGGCGACGGTCTCGGCTTTTCCTGGTGAGGCCTGGCCTCGCCGGCTCCTTCTGCGGGAAGGGAGAGGGAGAGCCCCACAGGGAGCCCTGTGTCAGCCTTCGGTTCCGGAGGAGCGAGATGCTGCTCGGGAAGGGGCGTGTTAATTGATCAGATGTGTCATGGGGTAGCTGGAAATACACATCCCAAGTAGAAAGTTTTAACGGAAGGCAGCTGGGAGGCTTTTCGTAGTCCCTGAGGATAATTACGTCGGCCATTTCATCGTTGAAACAGTTTATCCAAAACCGCTTACCCGAATTCAGCTTGCCATGGCCTGTGATTTTTGCCAAATGGGTATGGATTATGAACCGTGACTCTTACTTTTTAAAAACGTGCTTTGGCTTGCAGGAAGTAGCCCTTAGGAACGCGAAGGAACAGTCAGTCTCGGACTATACAGAGTGCTGCAGCGGCGAGAGATGCCAAAACTAAATTTATAAGTAAATCAGAATCCTGTATTTTATTTAGATGTAAATTAACTTCTTAATCTGTATTAATAGAATCACTCCTTTCTTAGTACTTGGCAGTGGCAGCGTTTTAAAATTTCTTCCCTCTACCAGTCTTGGGCCTTCTCGCCCTTTCCGATTTTGACTCCTGAATTCCAACCTCTTCAATCTTTCCTAGTAGGGGCCGGTTTGGCATTCAACCCGCTACTCCCACCCAGGCTGCGTCCAGCTGGTCTCCATTTAGCTAATCTTCCTAAACATTGACTTCTCCCATCTTCTCAGAAGTGCTCGGTGAATTGCTCCTGCAAGCTGATTTCAGCCCTGCCTCTTTAGCAGGTTGATGTTCAGGTTTCTTAATGAGTTTGCTCCAGCTGACCTCCAGCCACCACTCCCTTGCTCATGTGCTATACTCAAAAAACGATGTGCTTCGGGAACCCTCAGGTCATGCCATGTGCTCCCTTGCCATGTGCTTCTCTGCCCAACAAAAGACTTCCTCAAAAAAAAAAAAAAAAGACCTAGAGCTTGAGGGTCATAACCCTTCCCACCTTCAAAAACCAGTGGATTACCAACTCTCCGTGAAGTCTCTCCTAAGATCTGGTTGAAAGTGATTTCTCTCTCTCCTGAATAAATGATTTTTCATTTTTTCATGTCGTTGCATGTTACCCTTGTTAGGTGTTCCCAGTTTTTTGTTTTGTTTTTCTGTGTAGGACTAGAGGATGCACATTTCTGAGAGGGTGATCTTGGTTTTAGGCAAATATTTTCTAAGAATTAGAGCTGACCCAAATGTGGTAATTGATCTTGAGAAATAATGAAATTCTCCTTACTGGAAGTACTCAGGAAGAAGTTAAATAACTGACTACCTATTGGGAAATTCCTGTGGGGGAAGGAAGCTGAGATTTAAAGTTACATGAAGTTAAGATTCTGTGAGCCACTTGCGTACTCACAGCAGCCCGTTAAGCAGGTAGAGCAGGTACCATTTCTCATTTATAGATGAGGAAGTCTAGGTTTGGAAGGAATGATATTGTAATGTCAGAGCTAGAAGCTAGTTTTCAGTAGAAGCAGAGTTAGAATCTGGATCTCTGTGCCTTAGGAGATTTTATTAGTATTCCTTATATCAATCCTAGAACTCTTTTAAACTATTTAATTCATTAATGAATTTTAATGGTTTATTGTATAGGATGCTGATTGATGTAGGGCTTTGATCCTGATGGCTGGCTTTCCCTTTCCCCTTTTTTGGGTTCCAGGGGGTTAACATTTTCTTTCTTTCTTATGGCATGTTTTCACATGCATCCTGCTGCTTTAGGTTCTTGCAAGTTGCTTACATGCTTTATCTGTCCCCACTAGCTTTTGGGTGTCGAGAGCATGGCCGTGGCTTATTCTTTCTTTGTCTCTTCCATAAGACCTTGCCTATTCTTGGCATTTATTAAATAATTTTCTAAGAATGAATTGAAGTGTTTGCATCTCAAGTTCATATCAGCTATTAAATACCTTTATGGAAAGACCGGCTGTAAAATAACCAGAAAAACAACTATTTTTAATAGTATTTATCCAACCTTTTTTTTTTAGTTGCTAAAGGATCCCTAAGAAATTTATCATCTGCTGCCTGGAAATGTGTTTATGTCCATTAATGGATTGGTGTTGGTTTAGAAAATTTAATTTCAACTGATTATATAGTAAATTCTAGGACTCTTGTAAAGTTTTTTTTTAAAAAAAAAAAGGAAAGATCAGATCATAACTGACAGCATTTTGGAGTAACCATGCAAAAAATATTACAGGAAATATAGACATATGATTTTAGCCTTAGAACTTGTGAGCAATAAATGTCCCATGATAACAGAGAGATGTAGTACAGATCAGGTCAGAGGTGTACAAGAAATGTGAGTCTATTTTTTTTTTTCTTTTTTTTTCACCCTCTCAACCCAGCTTTTCCCAACTTCACGAAGAACTGGGAAGAGAAGGCCGTGTGAGTCATTGAACATGATGAGAAGCCAGGGCGTTTAGTCCACCGGTAGGGGGCAGAATAGCGAGTGGGTTTTCCTGTCTTTCTCCCTTTGCTCGCCCGGCCATCCCCAGCCATTCAGGAGTGGGGCTCCCATTCTCTCTGCTCTGCTTGTCACTCCTGAGCTCCGCTGACCGCACTTGACATGTCCACTTCTGAAATGGAACTGAAATGCTGATTCATGAACTTGACTCTCAGTGTTCATCATTGAGCCCTCTGTCATTTAACTCAGTATCGGAAGTTTACTTTGAAACAATACCTAATTGGGGGTTAAGAAACTTTGTGCTTGAGAGTGTAACTTCCCAGGCATCTCATCAAAGTTTCAGTCATCTTGTGATTTTAAAGATAGAAATTGCTGTCGGTGTAGCTATCAATACCCTATTAAGGCAGCTGGGAAAAATAGAGCCATGCAAAAATGAGGCCACAGTGGTAGAAACGTGTCCAGTGACCATCTTTAAGTGGTCTTAAGGATCCTTGTTTTTAAAAGAGGTGTGGAGGGAAGGGGCAGGTACAATATGATATGATTTTTCCCTTTAATATTTTCATGTGTTCTTGTTGTGGTTCTTTTCAGTTAGGCATTTATTCTAATTTCTTATATATTATAGCACAATATAATTGCCTTGTTTTAATTATATTTTCGTGAAACTTTTTGATATGGCTCAAGTACTTTTTCCTCTATCTACAGTACTACAGAATGGTGAAAGAGATTTATTCTTTCACATATTTTCTAAACTGTTTCAATAGAAGTGTCATTTGCTTTTTTTGTCTACTTGGCGGAGGTAAGAAATGATCAAAATACAGTTCGACAGCTATTTAAGCAAGGGTTCGGCATTGCTGAATATCTAAGTTCCAGCTGATTTGCTTTGCAATTACATACAATACATCCTTTAAAAGGGTAGGATATTTAAATTTAACTTTTTTTATGCCACTGTGCGAGTGGACTTCTGAAAATGGAGAGGGAAATCTCTCTCCTTCGTTGGTAACCATTCAAGTGGAAGGTACAGTATAAAAATGTAGGTGTACCTTACAGGGTGTTTTAAAGGGAAGTAACTGAACTTCGAACAGGGCTTTCTACTTTGGTATTTATTTTCTCTATAATCAGGCTAAAAAGAAGTTGAGGAAGTTCACTCTGAACTTACTAGTCAGGATTAAACCCCAATTTACAAACCCATGGAAAAAAAGCTGTTGATTACTTTGATCTTTTCTTTTATGAAGTAATTTATAATTTACTGCATATTCTAGAAGTCCAAAAAACTACTCTGGTTGCATAGCACCATTAATAAAGTCACAACATCTTATCACCTGACCCAGTACAAGTTCTTGTTATCATATTTACTTTACTGTTTCTTGGCATTTTCTTCTATTTGTTAGGTTTTAACTGTGAGAACACCTTCCACAGAAAATCTTAAACCTTTTTTCATTTTCATTAAGTTGCAGTCCTACTCCATCCAGTCCAGCCACCTAATTCTAGTCTCTTTACAGCTGAGATTGAGGCCACCAGGTATGAGGACTCCTACTCGTAATTGCCTTCTCAGAATGAAATTATTATGTTATTGAATTTATTTGGTGGTATGTTCTGTCTTCAAAACAATTCATTAAAAAATCAGTGAAACCAAATATATTTAATAAACTTTGCATCTAAATCCATAAATACATTATAACACAATAATAAAAATAAAGTTGTTAAACATTCATTAAAATTAAAATGTGGCCAGGTGAGGTGGCTCATGCCTGTAATCCTAGCACTTTGGGAGGCCAAGGCGGGGTGGGGTGGAGGGGCAGTGGCGGGGGGAGTTCCCTTAAGCCCAGGAGTTTGAGACCAGCCTGGGCAACGTAGTGAGACCTATTTCTACAGAAAAATTTTTTTGAGAATTAGCAGGGTGGCACATGCTTGTTAATCCTAGCTACTCGGCAAGAGGCCAAGACAGGAGGATCGCTTGAGCCCCAGAGTTTTGAGGCTACCATAAGTTCTGATTGCACCACCGCACTCCAGCCTGACTGATAGAGCGAGATTCTGTGTATAAAATAAAATATATTCTATAAAAGGTAATTGTTAGATACATATTCTAATATGAATTAGCAAGTAACATTAATAAAATATTTAAAAAACAACTAAACCATCGACAGATAAAGGCCTAATAGTGAAAATTTACAATAAAATATTATTTTATCTCTAATTTTAATGAAATCTTTTGAAATCAGGTTTACCCCTGGTGTTTAAGTTGCATGTGTTTTTTGTGCATATTTTTACAGCTTTCGAAAAAGCTTTTCCTGACTTCGTATCAGGAAGTAATGTCAAGGAGACAAGTTGTAAGCTAATTCTAAGCATTTTCCTAACTCCTTTATCTTCAAATAATCTCACCTCTTG